TGAGCCACCTTCCCAGCCCCTGTGTCCCCTTTTTAACTCAATGTATTTCAAGATTTTTAGGACCTCAGAATTCTTTTGTACCTTTATCTAGGCTGATTTGCAATATTTACTTTTAAATTTATTAGAGTAACCAATTTAACCTTGTAAGGAGGAGTATCCTATGCTGAAGTTTGCTTGCTAGAATTGTTTGTAAGCAATGAAGCACTGAGTATTTTGTATCACCCTGTGTAGAGAAGACTGGATTGTGCTGACATGTCTACAATTTCTATGTAAAAGCTACCCTGTACTATTAGAAGTGTGAGGTCGAATGAGTGATGGACATTGTTTTAGGTTTCATTTTGTTTTGTTAAAATATTTGATTTACAGTGTGATATGGATTATACTTTTTAAATCAAATGAAAGGGTCTTAATGATATAATTTTTCATTAGTTCTTAAAAGAGAAAAGGTTTGAGTCAGAATTAAATTAGCAGGTTGTCAGCATCATAAATGAATATTAAAAGGACCTAAAACAGAATAAATCTATGTGGTGCTTAATATATTCAGCCTTTCTGGTTTCTGGTGTTTGATATAACCTGGTAGAAGTAGATTGCAATGGGTAAAATTCAGTCCCATTGGGCAGCTACAGGTGTTACTTGAGCAAGCTTTGAGAATGTCTGTTGATGCTAAACCCTAGGTTTGTAATAGAAAAAACAGAGATTTAAATCCTTAAATATGCTGAGTGAAACAAATGAAATTCACAACCCATTATGAGGAAGGAAGGGCAAACCTTTTTTGTTGGCTAGCTTCAGCAGTCAAATGCATTTTTATATGCAGGTGACTTATGAGGAAAGAGGAGATTGAATACAGATTTAATTCATGAATTCTGTTCAATGAATAAAATAAGGAGCTGTGTGGATGGCTGGTGCCAGATGGAAAACAGATCTTCAGATAGCAGACACCAGCATTGAAGAATGATTGAGACTTATCAGAAGGTGAGCCAGCAGGAGTTCCAGGTAGATGTAGTTAGGACACTTTCCTCAATGCTGTGAATCTCATCTTACTCAGGTGTTTCTTGTAACAGTTGAGGAGACTTTAGAACTGCTTTTCATCTTCCTGAGGGAAAAGAAGGGATTCCAAAGAGATGAGGAGTGTGAGCCCTTTTTAGATGGGCATGTACTGATAACAGTTGCTTTCCCTGGATTGGGAAGCCTGGTAGGAGGAGGAGCTTGTGTCTCCTGAAGCATCTTGGTGTCTCAGACCAGTGAAGGAGTCATTTTATTGCCAAAGGTCAACCATAGTGAGGTTGATGATTTTACATGGTCACTAGGCCCCAGAAGTAATATAAGTAACAAGACTAATGTTCTTATAGTTAATCAAAACTGAGTTACGTCCACTTGTGGATTCTCAGGTTAGAACATAACCATGAAAGAAAGTAGAGATCCTGTTGCATTAAGAGAGTAACAACATCACACATTTTGAATATGCTTAGAGGGCCTTTCTTGACTTTGCCTCTGGAATTGTGTTAACTAGTAGGTATGATGAGAGAGTTTCAATTACAAAAATCATTAAGAAGGATGCACATGTTTGTGGCTAAAGAAGAAATGTATACCACTTTGGAAAGTAATATGGAGGTTCCTCAAAAGACTCCACATAGAGCTCCCCTGTGATCCAGCAATCTCACTTTTGGGCATTTACCCAAACAATCACAAACAAGGCTATACTAAAGCTACCAGCACAACTATATTTATTGCAGCATTATTTACCACAGCTGAGATATGAAACCAATCCAGATGGCCCTCCATAGTTGAATGGATCAAGAAGATGTGGTATATATAGACAATGGAATTCTTTTTTTTTTTGTTTTTGGTCAGTTATGGGGCTTGAACGCTGGGCTTGGGCACTGTCCCTGCACTCTTCAGCTCAAGGTGAGCATTCTACCGCTTGAACCACAGCACCACTTCTGGTTTTCTAGTGGTTTATTGGAGATAAAGAGTCTCACGGACTTTCCTGCCTGGGCTGGCTTTGAACTGTGATCCTCAGATCTCAGCCTCCTGAGGAGCTAGGATTACAGGCATGAGCCACCAGTGCCCGGCTATACAATGGAATTCTATGCCTCTGTCAGAAAGAATGACATCACCCTATTTGTTAGGAAATGGAAAGACTTGGAAAAAGTTATATTAAGTGAAGTAAGATAGACCCAAAGAAACATAGGTCCCATAATTTCCCTTATTTGCAGTAACCAGTATATGTCTAAGACAAGCAGAAAAGGTCAAAAGCTATGTACATTGACCATATAAGATAATGCTAAGCAAAATGAACCCCAAGATAGGGACACAAGTGGCTTTTTTTCTTTCTTGCTATTGTTTTTAACATATTTATAATGCAATATTATTTTTTTCTTTTGTATGTTCTTCCCCCATGATATAACCCCTGTTGTCACTGAATTTGATTCCGGTGTCCTGCATCTTGTATATACATTTTTCTAACTTGGGGAGGGGAAGGGAAATAAGGAAATGTTGAAATAAGGATATAGGTTGACCAATTGTAACAATGAGATGAACAAGATACTATGTTGAAAACAAAGTTTACAACTTGGGGTGGGGAGGGAGGACTTGGGGAGGTGGGGAGGGAAGGGACAGTAGGATAAAACAAAGGAGGAGGTTACAATGCTAGATAGGAAATTTACTCATTACCTTACTCATGTAACTGTAACCCCTCTAAACAGTATCTTTACAATAAAAAATATATACCAAAAAAATGTTTTTGGGGCTGGGCACTAATGGTTCAATCTTGTAATCCTAGCTACCCAGGTGACTGAGACATGAAGATTAAAGTTCAGAGCTAATCCAGACAAAAATCTCCAATTAGACAGCAAAAAAAAAAAACAAAAAACCATAGAAATGGAGTTTGTAGCTCAAGTGGTAGAGTACAAGACTTACAAAAAAGAAAAAGGGACAGTGCCTAGGCCCTGAGTTCAAGCTCTTTTACTGAAGAAAAAGGAAAAAGAAATTGGGGGTAATAATAAAGCTTCATGTTTTTATGCCTCTACCAAGAATGCATAAGGGAAATAAACCTACTCAGTGCAAACAAGTCCCAGTTGAAGCAAATGGGAGAGCAGTTCATAAGGCCAGCAGCAAGATGAAAGCCATCAAGATGGATGACCAACTTACCAAAAACAGTGATTGTTGGCAATATGTCTTTGCTGTCACTGGATCTAGGTAAGAAATGGCCTGAAATTGCCTCCTGCTCCCAGCTTTCTTCACAGAGCTAGGAAACTAAGGGTGCTCTTCCTCTACTATAACCTAGCAATTTAATAAACTTGCAGATTAATGTTTGGTGATTAGGAAGAAAAATTGTAAATTAAACTTTGAGCATTAGAAAAGATGTTTCATTGATAAAAATTTGTTATGCATTAGTTTTGTTTTTTTTTTTAGTGCTGAGGATCAAATCCAAAGACTGGTAAGGAAGTGCTGCACTTCTGTTTCTTTGAGACTTAAGTCTTAAGTTACCCAAGCTAGCCTTCAGCTCCTGGCTGGACTGATCCTCTCTGCTCAACCTTTTAAGTTGTTGGACTTACAGGTGTACTATTGTGCCCTGATAGATTAGGCTTACATAAGTGTTACACATTTATTTTGAGAAGAGCCATTAGGGAGCTTTTTATTAGGAATTCCATAGATGGAAATTGGGAGTTTCTGGGAAACAGATGTTAAGAAATCTAAATGGATGCAAGGTTATGTTGTCTATCTAACAATCCTGCTATTTTATTCCAGTGTATACATTAGAGCAGTGGAAAATGATTCAAGAATCAGTTTAGTGGCTCTGAAAACCTTTTTAAAGTGATAGGGGAGATATTAAAAAACTGAAGGCAAAACAGAGACATAATTTACATGCAACTGGACATATGTGTTGAACAAAAAATGAAAACAAAACGTAGTTTTATAACCTCAATTACATTATTATAACTAAGAATTCAAAAGCCAATTTATCTAATGCTCCCAACCAAGTTCCATTTGCTGGTTGGTCTTAACAGTACTTCAGGAGACACAGCGATTTCCAAGAAGAAACTCACCTTAGCGCCCACAGCAGGGAGAGAAAAGTCCCCATGCATCCAGGAACTGTACAGACCTGATATCTAGCACGGTTCGAACCTTTGAAACAAGGACACTTCCTCCAGGTTGGCGCAGTGCATTGTGGGAATTGTAGTCTACATTGGAGCACCGATCCTTTGAAAATGTAGGTGTGTTTTGTTATGTTTTTCCGGCGGGAAGCATGGAGCGGGAGGTAGATGTTTCTGCGCCTGCGCCTGCTCTGGACCGCCCACTGGTGATGCTTTAACTCTGCAATTCCGGTTCCTTTCTCTCTGTGTTGCTGGAAGTGTTCTCAAGTACAGTTTTGAAATCCAAAGGTCGCAGCCTCGGGACTGGCGCCCAGCCGCTCTTCCGTGGACCCTGGGAACTGTCATTTGAAGGGATCTCAGGCTGCAGATCCCATGTCAGGTATGGACCCCAAACTGGGCCTAGAACCCGAGTCTGCCCTCCACGTGTGTCTTGTTAGTCTTCTTAGCACTCCTGGGTTGAGTTCACACGTGTTTGTACATGACCTTGTTTCTAGAGACCGTTTTACAGGAGATATTGGAGTAGTGTGTGGTGGGCCTGTAGTTTTAAGAACGAAGCCTAGCAATGTTTGAAGGAGGGCACCCTATGATTAGGAATCTCCCTCCTAAAAGGACAGACAGGCCTTGTCAAGTCTCACAAGCCCTAAAGAGCATAAGCAGAAAAGCACAGGAAGGGGAAGACGTTTTTAGCTTCCCTTGCCTTAAGCAAGGAAAGTAGAACCAATTGGCTCTGCTTCTCGAGCACAAGATTCACATGGTACTCTTTCCTCCAACATTCTCAACCACTTGGTGCTGTTGGGAGGTTTAGACCAACTTTCAGGAGGGAAGATGAGCTGGACTGAGGAATAAGCCAGAGCCTTGTTATCAGAGGGGCCATAGGTCTGTGGTTTGTGGTGGAGGGATACCTATCACAGAGAGTGTCTGTCTAATCAATAATCCTATTTTCATTAATTTAATTCTTCTCACTATTATTTCTAGTATGTGATCTCTTAAACTTATCCCAAATGTCCCATCTATGGATTTCCCGATCTAGCTCTAACATAATTCTTCCTTGGCATTTCAGGAAGTGTTGGTCAGGGATCTTTGGCCTTAGAAAAATTATAGAAGAGAACTTGAGATAATGTATGTTGCTTAAGATTGTACGATTTTCAGATGTTACATATCCTGAAGTGTTATTCATTTTATCACAATCTGCTCAAAGAAGTATTAATTCCCTTATGAAATTCTTTTGGGGAATTGAATGAAGCATAAGCACTCTTTTAAAATATGTTGATCTTAACCTTTGCACTTCTTATGGCTTTTGCAACTTTAAAATGTTACTAACATGGATATTCTCCACTTTATTTCTCTGTTCTTGACAAATTACAATTTATCCAGTAGAATATTGAGCCTATCTTACATCAATTAAAATGAAAGAGACTGCCTAACCATGTATTGCATAACAATTGATAAAATATAATGTAAATAAAATACAAAGCCTCTTTTTTCTGTACAAATCCTGGTTCATGAGCTCAAGGTCTGGACACCAACCATGAGCTTCTTTTGCTCAAGGCTAATGTTCTACCACTTAAGCCACATCTCCACTTCCAATTATTTTTTGTAGTTTATTGGAGATCTGGAGTCTCTTAGACTTTCCTGCCCCACCTCCAGTTAATCTGTGATCCTCAGATCCCAGACTTTGTTGGTTTTTTTTTTAACTTTTTTTTTTAATCTTTTTTGGTACTGGGGATCGAACCCAGGACGTTGCACTTGCTAGGCAAGCACTTTGCCACTGAGCTACATCCCAGCCCTCACATCTCAGACTTTGGAGTGACTAGTATTACAGCCATGAGCCCCCAGAGCCTAGTTACAGTGCCCTCTTTTCAATACAGATATTTCTAATAAGATAATATGAAATAGAAAACTTTACATTTTTAAGGAGGGTTGTTCAGTCACTGTGTGTATGAGAATAGTCCAAATCCCAAAAGCTATGCCACCTTGAAATATGGACTCAAGCATTGTGAATATAGACACTTAGCCTACAATAAAATCTTTCTAAGTGTTTTAAAGTAAGAAAACGTATGTGGAAAAACACAATACTAATGTAAAACATTGCCTTTAATTGAATCATATTGTCTTTTGGAACAAAAACTAAGCCTCACTGATATCTACAGATTTTCATTTTTTGTACATGTCACTGTAAAGTTCATGTTATCTTATATTTAGTTTCCATTCTGTGTAATTGTACAAAAAAAAACTGTGGATAATAGCATTTCCAGTGAACAAGTACCAGCAAAAGCACATAGCTGTTTAATATATTTAATTTTATGGACCTCCATTTTGGGGTGTCCTCAGCTTGGTTTTTGTGTTAATATTGTTTAAGGAATGTATCTGACTCTAATCTCTGGTTCTTTGGTGAGGGTGGTTGGTTGGGATTATGTCACTACTATGACCGGTATTTTAATGTTGAGTCATTATTAGGCCTTGTATCTCCTGCGGGAAGGCCAGATATGAATGTTTAGGAAAGTGAGCTTTAGGGATTTCTTAAACCTGTGATTATATATAAAGATGTTTAATGCTGGGAAGGTGGCTCAGTGGTAGAGCACTTGCCTTGCATGCCTGAGGCCCTGGGTTCGATTCCTCAGCACCACAGAAGCAGAAAACAAAAGCCGGAAGTGGCGCTGTGGCTCAAGTGGTAGAGCACTAGCCTTGAGCTGAAGAGCTGAGGGACAGTGCCCAGGCCCAGAGTTCAGGCCCCATGAACGGACCCCCCCAAAAAAAGATGTTTACTGATGTTTCTTTGTCCCTTTGTAGGTTAAATGACAAATTGCAAGTCACTGACAAGGGCATTTGGATACAGGGAAATGTGCCATTTGACAACCATTATTGAAACAATATAATAGAAGAAATATGTATTGTACACATTTTGCCTGTATAACTTTCAGTGAAAAATACTGAGTTATAACATATATCCTTTCCATGATGTTTAACTGCCTAAATGAATGAAGTAGAGCACAAATGCTAAGGGCAATTTAGTACCTTTACATTAATAGAAAAATAGTTCATACATGCCTAAGTGTATTTCAGTATTAACTACTTTCAGTGAAGATGTAGTTTCAATGATTTATTATTATTAATTTATTTTTAAAATTATTTTAAATTACATATTACTAATTTTTAATTGTATTTTAAATAATTTTTAAATTATTATTATGAATTCTGTATGCATATAAAGTAATGGACTATCAATTTATCTTTAGTGGAGAGTTTAATGCTCTACATTAGACTTAAAAGATTCTTCTCAGGGCTGGGAAGGTAGCTCAGTGGTAGAGCGCTTGCTTGCATGCATGAGGCCCTGGGTTCGATTCCTCAGCACCACATAAGCAAAAAGGAAAAAGCCGGAAGTGGCGCTGTGGCTCAAGTGGTAGAGCGCTAGCCTTGAGCTTGAAGAGCTGAGGGACAGCGCTCAGGCCCAGAGTTCAGGCCCCACAACCAGACCCAAAAGAAAAAAAAAAAAGATTCTTCTCCCATAAGAAATCTATATGCTTTTCCTGCCCGCATATAATATTTTGAGCAGGAAAATCACACAAGTTCTTTCCTGACTACCTCATTTGCCTTCTCTCCCAGCCAGGCTTCCAGAATCTTCTGTTCATTGTCAACAACAAGAAAGAATGAAAGGATCTCTGGTGAGTTGCTTTTTATTTCTCACTTTGTTTTACATTCCATTTTATGAACCTAAGGGTGTCCAGGATTGAAAAAAAGAAAAACAAATTCAGCTTCAGGAACATGTTCATAAATTAGATAAAGGTGGCTTGTAGGCTTAGTAGAGGAAGCTGGCTTCTAGATTTAGCAGATTATAAAATCTTACATTCTGTCTAAGTTGAGCACAGATTTGCCTCACTGTGTTGCTAGGTTTTCTGATGTGAGAAAAAGTAGTCACACTTGTTATGTGATTCAGTGACACCAAGGAGATAACTTCTCATGGAAGGTGAAGGTTTATTAGCAACTGATCAGAGATCACATCCTCATGAATAACATTAAACTCCCTTAATGAAATTTTACTGGAGTTGCTGAGATACTGTGGTCAGGCACAACTTCTGAGTAAGCTATATGTACTTAAATTACTTTCTATACATGCTTCTTGAACTGATCTGTGGTCTTTGTCTACCTTGAAACTTAGGCTATATTTGGCAATATAGGCTATGGTCTTTCTAGAAATCCCTGATTTTTCCTAAGATGTCCTCACAAGATTTTTTTTTTTTAATAAGCTTTATTATTTTTTTTTTTCCAGTCCTGGGCCTGAACTCAGGGGATAGGCGCTGTCCCTGAGCTACTTTTGCTCAAGGTTAGCACTCTGCCGCTATAGCCACAGCACCACTCCTGGTTCTTCTGTTTATGTGGTACTAAGGAATCGAACCCAGGGCTTCATACATGCTAGGCAAGCACTCTACCACTAAGCCACATTCCCAATCCCCTCACAAGATTTTTTTTTGCTCTATTTTCCCTCTTTATTCTCTGTTTCCTGCTCACTAGCTTTCTTTATTTCTCTTTCTGTATACCTATTTTTCTCTCTGTCTCTTTTTTTCTTTATTTCTCTCAGTCCCTCTTCCCTTAATATGTCTCTCACTTTTTCTTTTTCTTCAAATGATGTATCTGAGAACTGGTTTTTCACACTGATTAATTTTCTTTGCTGTCGTGACTCTTAGAATTGACATTTTTCTTACCCATTATAAATAGGAAAAATGTTGCTAACTGCTAACTGTAACCTGAGGTATTTCTACGGTATTCCAGAGCCAAAGAAAAACAGAAAGACACAGACATAAACAGATACAAAGATGAATGAATGATAAAACACGTGTCCCTAGACTCAATGGCACTTGAGCCCTAGTCCTGGTATGCAGGCATATTTTCTTGAGTTCACACAGGGAAGGTTACCATGGATACTTGTAAAAAATAAAACATTTATATTAACATTAAAATCAGAGCCAAAACATTTTTGCAAGGGGGGACACTTGTTCCCTTATTCTTTAGAGACAAAAGATTGCAGCCCTCTGAAATTCCAAGCTGGTAGTCCACCTTACCTAGCCTTCAATGTCACCTGCACCCAAAGTTCAGTTTGAGCCCTTTCAGCACTAAAGAAGGGAGTAGCGGGCTGGGAAGGTACCTCAGTGGTAGAGCGCTTGCCTTGCATGCATGAGGCCCTGGGTTCGATTCCTCAGCACCACAGAAGCAAAAAGAAAAAAGCCGGAAGTGGCGCTGTGGCTCAAGTGGTAGAGCGCTAGCCTTGAGCTGAAGAGCTGAGGGACAGCACCCAGGCCCAGAGTTGAGGCCCCATGACCGGACACCCCCCCCAATAAAAAAAGAAAAGAAGGGAGTAGCACTCCAATCCCTTATCCCTCTCCAGAGTTGTCTGTTTTAACACTTTCATGGCCAGCTGTCAGTATTCTGGGTGCTTTTGGAGTGAAGTTCCAACCTCTCAAACCTTAGCCACTTTCAGCTCAACTTAGCATTCTCTACAGAAAATTACTATCATTTACCCATGGATACACAGCAAAAAAAACCTTGATTTTCCCATTCTATTTGTCTACTCTAACCTCATTTGATGTGGTACTGCAGTTTTTTTTTTTTTCATCTTGCTCCATTTGAATATTTTCATTAACTGCCAGTATAAGATAGAAGCTGGTTTTGATTTTTAAAAACCCAATACAGGGCTGGGAAGGTGGCTCAGTGGTAGAGCGCTTGCCTTGCATGCCTGAGGTCCTGGGTTCGATTCCTCAGCACCACATAAGAAAAAAGAAAAAAGCCAGAAATGGCACGGTGGCTCAAGTGGTAGAGTGCTAGCCTCGAGCTGAAGAGCTGAGGGACAGCACCCAGGCCCAGAGTTCAAGCCCCATGACCAAAAAACAAAAACAAAAAACCCAATACAGTGACTTAAGGTTTTGAATTATCACTGGTGGCACAGTCTGACAGATATTTGCTCATTAATAGACTTTGATCTCTTGGGAACTTGGCTAGTAGCTAACATGTGTGGCTGTATATCCTTAGTAATCTCCTGGGAGAAATGACTCAGGAATATGTGACACATTTGAACAGTAGTCAGTGAAAAGATAAACAAAAACTGAAAGCAAGTGCACAGATAATAATAACATGTATTTTTTTCCATGTGTGTTTGTTATTAATGCTATTTGTAGTGTGTTTCCAGCTAAAAACTTTTAACATATTTCCAAACTCTTTTCATCACTATAGCTATGATAAAATTCATAGAATCCAAAATTTTATTTTTCTATATTTCCTTTTGAAGACAGGTGCTTAATTTCATATTTATTTCAAGGTTTCATATAATAATTTAATATCCTTAGTTAACCCTCCCCCCAAAATCCTGTGTTGTGGGCACAAAGTCAACCATGAGGCTTGCCTGTCTGCTAATGTTCATAGAGTTGTAGCATAGTGAGGTAATTGTCTCAGTGAAGAAATTTTAGAAGTATTTTTTCAGAAAAGCCATTGTAGTCTATAGGGTAATTGGTACATTTATTTGTTTTCATTGATTTGAAATTTTAAAAAACATCATGAAAGTTGTTATCATAGAAAATGGAGAGTATCAAATGATACTTCATCTTTTGTGAGTAAATGTTACATATTTATCATAAATAAAATTAGATATTTAGATATGTGTGGGGGTCAGTTGTAGGATTTTCTTTTTTTTTCTTTTTTTGTCGGTCGTGGGGCTTGAACTCTGGGCCTGGGCGCTGTCCCTCAGCACTTCAGCTCAAGGCGAGCGCTCTACCACTTGAGCTACAGCACCACTTCCGGTTTTCTGGTGGTCTATTGGAGATAGGAGTCTCACGGTCTCTCCTGCCCGGGGTTGGCTTTGAACCGCGATCCTCAGATCTCAGCCTCCTGAGTAGCTAGGATTACAGGCGTGAGCCACCAGCGCCCGGCAGGATTTTCTTTTATATTTTCTAATTCATTCTTGTTACTAATCTAGAGACCTATGGAACTATTTACTTTTTTTCTTTTTTTTTTTGGTCCGGTCGTGGGGCCAGAACTCTGGGCCTGGGCGCTGTCCCTCAGCTCTTCAGCTCAAGGCTAGCACTCTACCACTTGAGCCACAGCACCACATCCAGCTTTTTTTTCTGCTTATGTGGTGCTGAGGAATCGAAGCCAGGGCCTCATGCATGCAAGGCAAGCGCTCTACCACTGAGCCACCTTCCCAGCCCCATGAGGCACAAGATTTTAATTGTATGCACTTAATCTTGTTTGGATTTGTATCAAGCACTTTTGGTATCTTATCCAAGGAGTACCTGTCAAATATAATGTCATGAAGCTTTCCTCCCCTCCTCTCTTCTTTTCTTCCTTTCCCTTTCCCTTTTTTTCCTTTCTCTTCACTCCTCTCGTCTCTTTTCTTCCTTCTTTTTCCTGCCCCTTTCTCCCCTTCTCTCCCCCTTCCATTCATTATCTTTGCTCTTTATGTCTGAGCTAAGGACTTGGGTGTTGCCCCAATTAATGTCTAACTTAGAGACTCATGAGATACACCCACCTCAGCCTCCATGCCTTTCTTGTGCTAGTACTGGAGCTTGAACTCACAATCCTCAACCTTCAGTCATCTTCCTCGTTTACTGTTGGCACTATCATTTGAGCCATGCCTCCAACTTGTTTATTGGCTGCTTATTTATTTAGTACCAGGCTGGCTTCCAGACCTCAGCCTCCTTTAGTAGCCAGAAGCACTTGTTTGGTTTTGTTGTTTTTTTCATATCTGAGAATTTAACACTAAAAGTTAATTGGATACTACCGTAAAACAAGATTATTGTTACTCATTAATGTAGAATTAATATTCAACCCCAACTCAAATGTTTCATGTTTAAATTAATTGTTGTATTCTATTTCTAATCATTGTAACTGTTGTTCTAACTACAGTAGATTTTCTTTTTTTTTTTTTTTGGTCCGGTCGTGGGCCTGAACTCTGGGCCTGGGCGCTGTCTCTCAGCTCTTCAGCTCAAGGCTAGTGCTCTACCATTTGAGCCACAGTGCCACTTCTGGCTTTTTTCCTTTTTGCTTATGTGGTGCTGGAGAATCGAACCCAGGGCCTCATGCATGCAAGGCAAGCGCTCTACCAGTGAGCCACCTTCCCAGCCCTAGATTTTCTTCACTAAGCAAAAGAGTTGAGTTTAGCACAACTCCATGGTGAATTAATTTATTATTATTATAGAGAGATTATAATTACATGAGTCAGGTAATGAGTACATTTCATTTCATATAGTGTCTTCCATTACCTCAGTCTCTCCCAATCCCTCCCTCCTATCTCTACTCATGGGCTGTGTAGTTTACTATTTTCAGTGTCTAATGACTCTCCCCCATCCCTCCCCCCCTGCAATTTTTACTTCTGTTTCCCTTGAGTTCTATGGTTTTCTTTGACCCTCCAGAAGATACACGTGTGACTTTCCCATACAATTAAAACCGTATGTTTTTATTTCAAAGATGAAGAAAATGTATTTATCACAGCTTTATTTCTCATATTGATTTCTAGAAAGTTTGTCTTGAGATTTACTTTCAGTGTGTATGTCTTGGTAAATGTAATATGATGGTGCTTTATAAACATCATTTAGGTTAAAACCCATGTGTGTGCTCCTGCTGACTTTTTATCTGTTTGTTCTATCAGTTGTTGTGAGGATTATCAATTATCCAATAGTAATGGTAAATTAAGAAATTATAATTCTGTGGCCTTTTAAATATGTCTTTGGATAATTTTTTCAGCACAAATTTTTATTATAAAGATGTATGAACTGTCTGTTACAATGTATTGTCTGTATCTGTGATCATACAATTTGTGCTGATGTTTTTTTCTTGTCATATTATCACTATTTGTATATTTCATTATAGATTTTCACTTATGGTATCTACTTATTGATTTATTTATTTCTAATTTCTCTATGTTTAGTGTTTGTCTCTGTGGATAGCTTACTGAGTACTTTTTCTTCTGTTCAAATCAGATAGTGCTTTACATATTTACTATATATTACAATATTAATAGAGTTTAATTTAGATGGCCATTTTGCTATTTGTTATCTGTTGGTCTCATCTGATATTTATTTCCTATTTTGCTTCCATGTAACCTGCACACATCCTTCCACACACCGTAAATGACCTAATATAACTTATAGGCATTCTTGTATGCACTATAAATCACCTATCATACCTATTAAAATTTAAATCCTATGTGAATAGTTGCTTTTTGTTTGTTTGTTTTGTGTGTGTGTAGGTCATGGGGCCTAAACTCTGGGCCTGAACACTGTCCCTCAGCTCTTCAGCTTAGGACTAGCACCCTACCACTTGAGCCACAGTGCCACTTCCAGCTTTTTCTGCTTATGTGGTGCTGAGGAATCGAACCTAGGGCCTCATGCATGCAAGGCAAGCACTCTACCACTGAGCCACCTTCCCAGGCCCTGTAAAGTTTTTATACTGCATTGTTTATAGAATAATGGCAGTTTTTCAAAGACTGCAGGTTTAATATAGGTGCCATACTTTCTCAAATATTTTGGTTCTATGGTTCATTGAATCTGTGCAGCTCACAAATATACAAGGCCTATTATATTCCTTTGAAAAGGCTATTGTGTAGTAGGTATAATCTAGTCTGGTAGTTTGACTGTTTGCTTCATAAAGAAGAAATCAGAGATTTTGTGTACTGAACAATGGCCATCCTCAAGCTGAACCATAGAACTTCAAAAGAAGTTAAACATGGAGGAAAATTGTTGTTATCCTATAAAACTACAAGAAAATAAATTTCCCACCTAGTCTAACTATTTATTGTGACAGACATAGGAAATTAACGTGCTGGTTGTACTTCACTGTATTATTATTAGGTACTCTAAGAGTTTAGAGTATTCCTACAGTACCAGCATATGACATCAGATAATATAGATTCTTTTCAATAGAATAATTCCATTTATAACCCAAAGATAAAGCCTTTTAATATTTTTGCTAGAATTAATTCTTTGAACTCAGGCCCTCATATTTGTCAGCCAAGTGCAGTATTAATTGACCCATCTTCCCAGTCCACATAGTTTGTTTTTAATACAGGTATATGTTTATATATTGAATCTTCATGCACTATGAATCCTGGATATGCTATTAGTTTTCCTTCCACAAATCATCTTAGAGAGATTATATAAAATATATGTTCTATACATTCCTTTGTACTTACCTACATATTTACCAATTTAATGACATTGACCTATGTGTAGATCTGTGTTGGCACATTTTTCTCTTGACGCACCATAATTTCTTCTGACACTCTTAAAATGCAGATGTTATTAATGATTTATCTTTCCTGAAAATACCTTCAATATGCATTTTTAGGAATGTTCCTCTGCCCAATGGATTATGAATTAAGGGTTATTTTCTTCCACCACTTTACAAATATATTTCCTTTTCTTTCTTTAGTCAGGATTCACCTCTTGTATTGTCCAGCATGGCTGGATTGGAGGGATTGTTGGCATTTTTCATTTGTAATGGGTTTCAATGTGGGAGTCAAAATTCGCTATATTTAGCCTCTGCACAACAAATTAGTACTATATTTCATTCCAACTTTAAAAATTTCCTTTTATATTTTGTAGATCACATCCCTCTTTATTCTTATTTTTCTCTGGCCTGCTTATGGTGGTCATACTCCCCATTATTTGTCACCTTGAGTGTCCATAAGCCTCTATCTATTTACCTCCATCCTTCCATGAAGGCCTATTAAAATGCAATACTGTCAAGAAACATTTTATTACCCTCCCACTTATATTCTGTATTGTGGAAGGTAGGCACTGTTCTCAAAAGTGAATACCAACAGTTTTTGTTGTTGTTGTTGTTTTTTACATAGGAAGGAAGTATCAGGGTATCTATGACCACACTTCAATCTTTACAAATTTGATTACCAAAAGCATTAGAATAGGAATTTTTTTTTTGTGCCCGTCTGAGGTTTGCTCTTAGGCCTGGGCACTGTCCCTGAGCTTTTGTTGCTCAAGGCTAGTGTTCTATCACTTGAGCCACAGCACCACTTCCAGCTTTTGTTTTCTGCTTCTGTGGTGCTAAGGAATCGAACCCAGGCCCTCAGGCATGCAAGGCAAGCGCTCTACCACTGAGCCACCTTCCCAGCCCAGAATTGTTATCTTTTGCCTATTGCTATCACCAGAAATGTGTTCTGATGTATTAGGGAAGGTTTGTATTTTTAATTACCTAGTTCATACAGAGGCAAATATTTTTACCTTGATTTTTCTTCCTCCCAATGTATAGCTAACACAGCAAGCTCCAAATATTTATGTAAGACAAAAGCATATATATATATATATATATATGAATGAAATTCCAGATTTGGTTTTCTCATGACTCAGGCCTAATTACTTGATGGAAATGTGTCATTACAGAAGCTGGTGTCATTTGATGATGTGGCATTGGACTTCAGCTGGGAGGAGTGGCAGGACTTGGATATTGCTCAGAGAACCTTGTATAGAGATGTAATGCTGGAGACCTACAGCAACCTCATGTCCTTGGGTGAGCAAAAGTAACATTAATTTGCTAGACCAAGTGATTTTTTTTTTAGTAGACATGTGAATATTTATCAGACTTTCAAATACTATGCAAAATTCCAGTCTGTGAGAACTGTCATTTCTTTCTAAGGAAAACTTCAACTTGATTAAGTGACACTTGAGGCAGTGTTATTCTCAAGGAGCCAAATCAACACTTTGTCAAAAGTTCTATAATAGGTTTAAACTTGAGATGATTATTGTGGGTGGATATACAATCTAGAATAGAATGTATATCACTATTAGAAGTATGATTTGGAATACTGGTTTATATTGTGCATTTATAATCCAAACCTGTCACTGGGTACAGTTTTTCATACTTGTAATCCTAGCTATTTAGGAGGCTGAAATCTGAGGATTTTGGTTTGAAGCCAGCAATGGCCAAAAATTCCACATAAGACTCTTATCTCCAATTAACCACTGAAATACTGAAAGTAGAGCTGGGACTCAAACTGAATCAAGTTTCTTTTTTTTTTTTGGTGGGGGGGTCCAATCGTGGGGCCTGAACACTGGGCCTGCGCTGTCCCTTACCTCTTCAGCTCAAGGCTAGCGCTTTACCACTTGAGTCACAGTGCCACTTCCGGCTTTTTTTTCCTGCTTATGTGGTGCTGAGGAATTGAGCCCAGGGCCTCATGCATGCAAGGCAAGCGCTCTACCACTGAGCCACCTTGGGACTCAAACTGGTAGAATGCTAGCTTTGAGCAAAAGAGCTGAGTTCAAACCACACAACCAGCCAAATAAATCCAAAGCTGGGGGAAAGTCAATCATGGAACGAGTGAGAAATGAGAAACAAGATTTAGGAGCAAACTTGTGAATGTCATGTCTCAGATGTTACAGCAATGATGACCCAGCATAAGCAATAGTTCTCCACTCTTATTAACAGGGCACTGCATTCCTAAACCTAAATTGATTGTCACATTGGAGCAAGGTGCAGAACCATGGGTAGGAGAAGCCTCACACAAGAATTTCACAGGTGAGTAAATGCATCTTCCATAGTGATGTTGTAGCCAGAGCCTTGTTGGCAAGTTCAACTTATACTGTACTGAGTAATAATATTCTGAGTTCCCTTGAGTCCTGTGTGTTGTAGAGAACTAAGTGATGCTTTGTCTTAAGGACTTGTGAATCACAGTTCATATGGAGACATTGAATGCTATGTGGCAGCAATTCTCTTGTATTTGTGGAACTCATTCTAAAAAAATCACACAAGTGTAAAAATTTAGATTTCATTTCTTTGAAAGTAGAAATATACAGGTGTAGGAAATAAGGAGCATGCCAGGACTGCTATTCTCTGATAAGGAAAAATAGCTTATCAGTGTTATGCAGAGACTGGGATTCAGAAACAAAGCCTTTCGTATAGAGAGGATGATTAACTAAGAGGAGAGCTGGAGTATCTTTGGTCTAACATGGTTCTGAGGGGCAGGTGTGTCAGAAATGAACTTTTGATAAGACTTTTTCTAAGATGGAGAGAGGCATCCCACAGATGCCTAAAGTAATTCTTAGTAAGAAGTTAGAACTGAAAAGATTTAGGTATAAATCATTACTCCCAGGAACCTTTCCTGCTTAGGTGAAAGACAAAAGGATGTATAAAATACTCCTTATCTTCTCCAAATCTAGAAAATATTCCTGTTCCTCACCTATTGGGTGAGAAGCAAAACAGCACAATTTATAAATTATTTCACAAACATAAGACAAGGCAGCTATTCTCCTATGATCAAACAACAATACCAAGAATACTAAAGGAAGAAAGTAAGTTTTCAGCTTAAAACTCTAGCAGTATATAGTTAAGTAATTTGAGTAAGTGCCTCCTGTGAAATAAAAAGAAGAATGAACAGAAATACAGGAAAACATTATTTTCTGTGGTAAAATATCAGTATTTCTTTAATACATTAGGGAAAGAAGCATATATTTGTCATAAATCAATTCCTATTTTGATATTTTAAAATCTCTAACACGATGGGAGAAAAGGTCTTTGTTTTTGCCTTAAAGAATCTTGGGATTTCATTTGTTTCTGTCTTTTTCTATGACTCATTTTAGATGTTCAAGGGATGGAGTATGTGATTAAGGCATGCCAGGAAAGTCTAAACAAATGTCTATGTGAAATAGCAGCCACAAATAGTAACATAGTGGAAGATAGAGTAAGATTAGTAACTTTTAATTTGAGTTCAAAACTTAAGCCAGAGCTGATTAGAAATAATGGGAACTCCTTAGGAATGAGGACTAAGGAGTTCACTGAGTGTCAGAACATGCTTCTCTGTAGTGAGCCTGATGAATTGCATGCTGCATATAGGCCTAGTGTGTCTCCTGTAGTTGATCAATCCCTCAGATATTCAGAGTATTTTAGTCAAAATTATGAGAGTCCAGATGAGCTGCAGTATTTTGAATATGGTGGAAAAGGGAAAGATTTAAACTCAGAGACCATATTCTTTAGACATAAGTGGGGTTTTGTGGCAAAATGCTCATGTAACTATAATGGATATAGAAAAGACTATGTATGATGTCTGTTCTCCTTGACCAAAAGTACTTCAAGGGGAAAGGAAAACACCTGAATGTACTGTATGTGGCAAAACATTCTACTTAAGACCTACAGTCACTACTCATCAGAAAATGTACACAGGAGAGAATTCTTGTATGTGTAGTGAATGTGAGAAAACTTTCAGTAAGAAAATACACCTTACAAAACTTCCAAGCAAATATCCAGAGAAGTCTAATGAGTATATCCAGTGTGCAAAATTTATCTCTCAGAAATCAGATGTGACTTTCCAACCTCAAACACCAACAGAAGAGAAACCCTGTGAATATGAGTGTAGGGAATTTTCCACTCAGAAGTCAGCACTCAACCAACATCAGAGAATTCAGACTGAAGAGAAACCTTATGAATGCAACAAATTCGGAAAATCTTTCAGACTAAAGTCATACCTCACTTTGCATCAGAAAACACAAACAGGAGAGAAACCTTACAAGTGTGACAAATGTGGAAAGTCTTTTACCCAGAAGACAGAGCTTCATGTTCATCAGAGAACACACACAGGAGAGAAACCTTATGAATGTAACAAATGTGGAAAGCCTTTTGCCCGGAAGACAGATCTTCGTGTTCATCAGAGAACACACACAGGAGAGAAACCTTATGAATGTAACAAATGTGGAAAGTCTTTTGCCCAGAAGGCAAACCTTACTGTCCATAAGAGAACACACACAAAAGAGAAACCTTACGAATGTAATAGATGTGGAAAGTATTTCACCCGGAAGGCAGACCTTCATGTTCATCAGAGAATACACACAGGGGAGAAACCTTATGAATGTAACAAATGTGGAAAGAGTTTCGCCCGGAGGGCAGACCTTAATGTCCATCAGAGAACACACACAGGGGAGAGACCTTATGAATGTAAGAAATGTGGAAAGTCCTTCGCCCAGAAGTCACATCTCAATACACATAAGAGAATTCACACAGGTGAGAAACCTTATGAATGTAACACATGTGGAAGGTCTTATAGAGAGAAGTCATACCTTGCTTTGCATCAGAGAACACATACAGGAGAAAAACCTTATGAATGCAACAAATGTGGAAAGACCTTCAAGTGGAGTTCACATCTAGGTAGGCATACCAGAATTCACACAGTTTAGAAACCTTAGGACTGTAACAAGTGTGGAAAATCCTTCACCTGTAATTCATACCTCACCAAGCATAAGAATATTCACCCACATGAGCAGCCTTAGAAATGTAATGTGTCACAAGTCTTTTACCTGGAAGAAAAGTCAGTTTGCATCAGAGAACCCACACAGGAGAGAAGCCTTATGAAAGTAGCAAATGTGCAGTCTTTCACCCAGAAGGCATACCTCAGGGTTCATCATTGAACCACCCCCAGGAGAGAAATCCTATGAATGAAATGAAAGTAGAAGTTTTTGAGAAGTCATACCTCAGTTTTCATCAGAGAACACACACAGGAGAAAAATTGTATGAATGTAACAACTGTAGAAATTACTTCACCAAGATGGCATGGCTCAGTGTTTATACAATACACACAGGAGAGAAACTTTATAAATATTACAAATGTGGAAAATCTTTGACCTGGAAGGCATACCTCAGTGTTCATCAGAGAACTAACTTATATAAGACAAAAGAAAACTAATAAAATAACAAATGTGCAGGGACTTTTAATTAGAAGTCTATCATCAGTGTATTTGAGAACATAAAAAGGAGAGAATCTCTAAATATACTAAATGTAGAAAAACATTTAGCCAGAAGTCACCTCTCTACAGGTATCAGAGACCGGGATACATGACAGAATCTCTGTAAATGTAAGCATCAGAAGAAGTCTTTCAACCAGAAGTCAATCTTCAGCAAGCATTAGAGAACTCACACAGGAAAGAAACCCAATGTAGGAAAATCTTGTAAGAAGCCTCTGGAAGTTATGTAGAGAAATTATTTATAGCAGAGGTAAGCTAGGTGTACTGAGAAACCATTCTTTACATTTGTGCACTGACTGAGCCAACATTTCTCATCCTTTGTGTTGAAATGGGGATGATGGACCTGAGTATTAAACAAAGGATTTGGACACGTGATGGGCATTAATTATTTCCAGGCTCGACAAGTAATTAATAGAGTGAAGTGGTTGACTTGTGTTCTTTTATACTAAGGAATGGTTCAGCTTTTGAATGGAAATTCTGATGGAAGATACCAGTCCTTGGTTATTACAAAATTTTGACACAGTAGTGTCCACAAGCTTGTTCATGAAACGTTCAGAGAACATGAAAGGACACACATTTGGGAATACATTTTCTTTGTATGTGGTTCCAATTCTGTAGCACTGTCTTTAAGTAATTTTGCTCAAGGCTAATAATGCTCTACCACTTGACCATAACTCCATTTCTAGTTTCTTTGATGGGTGTAAATAATGAGAAGAGTCTTAAGCATTTGGATTTGGATGAGTAACACCAAAATGACTTCTGTGCTTGCTTTTTTATATTTAATTAATCATAGGTAATGAGTCACTTGTGATTGATTAGCTCTTAGCCCATTCTGTTATTCTGCTGAGTGAGATTAATAAAACATCACTGTGAATGATGTGAAGAGCCTCTCATTGATCTGGAGGTTGAAAGTGAAGTTATTAGGAGGATAAATATGTCTGTACCACCACTACTATCCCTTTACCAGCTCCCTCACAATTAAGACATGATTTTGTTAAAGTTCATTCTGGTAGTAAGGAACAAAAGTTAGAAGATAGTTACAGAAATCCAAGGGATAAGAGGGACAAATAGAAGCAGGACTGTGCTAGACATTTGATCAGGTGAAATACAGGTAAAAAATGATCCTTTAATGCATCTGTAGGTACATATAGTATGTTGAAGTAAAATGTAATATTCCATGTTTTTATTGTGCAGAGTTTGCATATCTAACACTCTGAACACATATATTTCTCTGTGGTGAAAAGGAGTCTGTCATACTAAGTTAAATAACCAGATACAGAAGGATATCTACCAATGTGACACAAAAATGGAAGCTATCAAAAATGAAGCTAAGTTCTCATAGAGGAGCAGTACAGAATAGCAGCTGACCATGTGACAATTAGTAATAATTGCTTCACAAGGAAACTTTTTACTTGATTGCAAATTATATTGCCCCTTTTTTTTTTGGTCCAGTTGTGGGGCCTGAACTCTGGGCCTGGGGTGCTGTCCCTCAGCTCTTCAGCTCAAGGCTAGCGCTCTACCATTGAGCCACACGCCACTTCCAGCTTTTTTTTCCTGCTTATATGGTGCTGAGGAATCGAATCCAGGGCCTCATGCATGCAAGGCAAGTGCTCTACCACTGAGCCACTTTCCCAGCCCCATATATTGCCCTTTTTTGATATATGATGTCATATTACTTACATATATTCTTTGTGCAGTGATTGCATATCCAGTACCCTAAGCACATATACTTTTCAATTAGAAGAAAGCTGTCATTTGCAGTCTCATGGAGGGCCACGGTAGATATAACATTAGGGGAAAGAACTAGGCACACAGAGAAATTGAGCAATCTCAAAAATGGAAGCTGATAAACATAGGACCAATTTCTCACAGACGGTGAAAGTAGAATAGCTGTTAACAGAGACAGGGAGAGATTGATGTATGTGTTTAGTGTTATTGGCAATTAGCATTAAGTTCTGTTTTATTCCATATTGAGTGACTTTAGTAATGTATTGCAAAGAGAAAAGAGGAATCTGAAGGATTCTCTGTTCAAGATTTTGGTCTTCATAATATTTTGGGTGCCAAACGATTACAAACAAGGCCATAATAAAGCTACCAGCACACCTATGTTTATCACAGCATTGTTCACCATAGCTAAGATATGGAACCAACCCAAATATCCCTCAGTAGGTGAATGGATCAAGAAAATATGTGAGATGTGTGTGTGTGTGTGTGTGTGTGTGTGTGTGTGTGTGTGTGTGTGTGTGTGTGTGTATGAATTCTGTGCCTCCATCAGAAAGAATGACACCACTCCATTTGTTAGGAAATAGAAATGAAGTAAGCCAGACCCAAAGATAAGGGAAACCTTATCTGCAATATCTAGTATATATGTCTAGGACAAGCAGAAGAGGTCAAAAGCTATGTACATATGACCAAATAAGCTGATGCTAAGTGAAGTGAGCCCCAAAACAGGGACACAAGATTTTTATCTTTCTTGTGCTTATAATGTACTATGTGATTTTTGTTGTTGTTGTTTCTTTGTATGTTCTTCCCCCATGATAACCCTGTTGTCACTGTATTTAATTCTGGTGTCCTGTGTCTTATGTATACATTTTTCCAATTTGGGGAGGGTAAGGTAAATAACAAAATGCTGAAATAAGGATACAGGATGACCCCTTGCAACAACGAGATGTACAAGATACTATATTGAAAACGAACTTTATAACTTTGCTGGAGAGGGAAGGGAGGTAGGGGGGACAAGGGGAGTAACAATGCTCCACAGGAAATGAACTCAATTACCTTGCTTATATAACTGTAACCCCTCTTTACAGTATCCTTACAATAAAAAATATGTATTAAAAAAGAAATAAAATAGAATTTAAAAATATTTTGGGTGGTCAATTGACTTGAGTCAGAGTATGCTTTTGAATATTTTGCAGTGTGGCATGTGCTCAAAGAACACCAATTGCTAATGTGGGTGAATGCCTTCTCTGAGTGGAGATCACATAGAAAAGAGCAAACACAGAGAATGGTGAAAGAAATCACAGGGTTGTAGCATGATGTTCTGGATTCCAATTGAACATGGAATCAATACAATGTCTAGATTACTGTGTGCCAGAGTTTCATGTTTGGAGTTACTGTAGTGTTATCCCTCCCTATGTTATGCCAATTGACATACATATTTTATTTGTAGGAAAATGAGTGAACCTGGAAAAAATTATGTTAAGTGAAGTCAGTCAGACTCAGGAAGACTTAACTTGCACACACACCGAAGTACAGTATGTGTAGGGGATAGTTCCAATACTGTCACTTCTGAACAACCAACAGTTTAACATAATGAAAGCTAGGAAGCTGGAATACGTCTTCTTAGCAGAAGGGGACTAAGTTAAAGGAAAAGGTACAAATAGAGTAAGAATGAATTAATGAAGTCATAATATTCAATGCATGTATGTGAAAATTGATCTAGGTGAATTGGGATTGTTGAATTTGGGAGAGATGGAGAAAATAATAAAGGAGGAGATGTTCATCAAGATGCACTGTACTCATAAAACTGACCTGTGGAATGGAAAGCATTCAGATTCTTAAACATAATAAAAAGAAATGGCTGTGGATAAGAAATAAGGAGTAAGCAGGGTTTCAAAAGATTTTTCCTAAACAAAAAGAACACCAAAGGCTCAAAAAAAAATCCTGTAATTCTAGCTACTCAGAAGGGTGATAACTGAGGATGTCAGTTTGAAGCCAGCCTGGACATGATGGTCTTGAGCCTCTTGTGTCCAGTTAATTACCAAACCATCCAGAAGTGGAGCTAAGTATCAAAACATAGAGGGTTAGCCTTGGGCAAAAAAGCTCAAGGACAGTATCAAGACCCGACTATCAGCCCCTACAACTAGCGCGCGCATGCGTGTGCGCGGGGCACGCACGCGCGCGCGCGCGCACACACACACACACACACACACAGAGTTCCCTCTCTTACCCTCAAGAGGATAAAACAAAAAGGTACAATGTAAATAACATAGGAGCTCTAGCAAAAGCAACCATCAATATGATTAAATTCATGACTTCACAGAATTAATTACCTGAGGACAAGCTTAATTAGCCATAGTTGAAGGATAATCCATTCATTTATTCAAAACTGGTAGATTAAGTTGGAGTAAAAAATCCATCATTTATCACATATTGCTTATGTAAATACTACTACTGGGATATCAAAAGCAAAGTGGAAAGCTGGGTGCCAATGCCTCATGCCTGTAATCCTAGCTACTCTGGAGGCTTAGATCTGAAGATTGTGGTTCAAAGCCAGCCCAGACAGGGAAGTCCATGAGACTCTTATCTCCAATTAACCACCAGAAAACCAGAAGTGATGCTGTGGCTCAAGTGATAGAGCCCTCATCTTGAGCTAAACAGCTCAAGCCCCACAACCAACAGAAAAAAAAAAAAGGTGGTGAATTCCTTTATAG